CACTCGACACAGCCAAACGAAATAAAAGTGATCTCATTCAAGCAGGAGCCCCGAGGACTAGGAGAACCCAGCCTCTCCCAGGCCTCCTCACCTGAGCGGGGCTCCCTTCTGACCGCCGCCCACCCGCTCCAGGGCCGGGCGCAGGAAGGGGCCGCCCAGCCCGAGGCTCGCAGGGGCCGAAAACCCCGGGTCCTGCACACGCCTGGGCCCCGCGGCGAACCTGGCGTCCCCACCCCACTCCAGGATCAGATTCAGGCCAGGCCAGGAACCACCCGAGCTTCCCGCGTCCGCCTCGGTCCAGGCTGCAATGCGGGCGGCGGCCGCCAGGGGGCGGAGGATCGGGGCCCGCGCCCGGCGCGCCCCACCGAGGCGTGGCTCAGGACGAGGGTTCGGGAGCCACTGGCCCCGAGCACCCACGTGCAGCTTCCGCTCGCAGCCCCGGCCTGGCTCCTCGGTCCCCGGCTGAGACCTGCGGCCGCTGCAGGGCGAGGGGGCGGGCTCGGCTCGGGGCGCACAGGGCTCCCAGCCTCTCCCACCCCAACCCCGCCCTTACGGGGAACCCCAGCGACGCCCTGAACCCGGAAAGTGACACTGGGGCCGGGGCTGGACTTGGCGCCCGCTTCCCCTCCCGTCACAGTGACCAGGGCTGGGCCGGGGTCGGGGCCGTCGGGGCGGGCGGAGGCCACGTGGGAATAGGGCTCGCTGCGCCACGGAAACCCCGCGCCGCCCTTCGAGTCCTCCGGCTGCTCCGCACAGCCGGGGCCGCTGCCATCGCGTCTGCCCCGAGGCTGCGCAGGCGGGTACCTGTCGGGACTCCGGGAACAGCCCGAGCCGGGAGACGCCCATCGGCCTGCCCAGCCCCACCCGGGACGACTCTGAGGGCGGGAGGCCGGGAGAGAAGAGAGTGGGAGATGAGGGGCAGGGAGAGAAGGGACCCGGGGATGTTATAACACGCTTTCCGCGCGTACAACTGGGGCCCACAGGCGGCCAGAAAGGTGGGATTCATTGGCCCCCTTTGCGGATGGACCCATGTTGGAGCCCCTTAGATCTGCGGTGGGGGCACCGAGACCTGCGGTGAGCACCTCACACCCCTAACGCCAACGGATCCGCCCACCGCATGCCCGCCTGGCTGGCTTTGCACAAACGCTGCGTCAGGACACGCCCCAGGCCCACTCCCTCCCACATGGCGACCCTCAGGCCTTCGTAGACAGAAAGTGCCCTAAGCACACGCAGGTTCAAAGCCCGCCCCCGCCTCGGATTCGCTGTGTGGCCCGCAGCCAGTATCTTGGCCTCTCTGGGCCTCAGTTTGCTCATCTCAGTGAACCGGACACAGACACAGGCGCGCTTCGGGCTCACGCTTTATTTGCCATCCAAGGCCCCGGGCCCGCCTGGGCGCCCGCTCAGAAGATCTTCACCGACTCCAGCTGCACGTCCCCGCCCACCTCCACCAGGCGCACGCGCGCCAGCGGCAGGCGGTGGCGGAAGTGGTGGTACTGGACGTCCCCAACCACGGCCTGCAGGGGAGGGTCGCTGGTGAGGATTCCGGAGGCCCGTGCTGGGTGGCCCTGGGGAAATCACTCACCCCCTCTGCGCCTCAGTTTCCCCACTGGGAAAATGGGGCTGTTGTTCTTTCTAACTCCTGTCGTCTGGATCAAAGCAGTTTACTGGGTGGCACAGCAGAAAACGGCTTTTTTAGTGCTGGTAATGGATATTCTTATTTAAAGCGCAGAGGAGGGAGGTGAACTCGCGTAAGGCCTGGGTGGTGGGGGATTTGCCGCCCCCCCCACCCCCATCCTTGCTAGGACGAGTTCCTGAGCGCGGCCTCCAACCCATCCCTCCCCCGCCTCCGAGCCCCAACCTCAGGCACAGGGAACTGGGAGTCGGGTCGGGGTTGGCGAGTCTGGGCCACGGCTTCGCGCTAGGGCGCCCACCCCTTGGGTACCCGGCGGGGTCGCCTCGTCCTGACCCTGCTGTCTCGCTGGGGCCCGGGTAGGAGTTGCTTAGGCCAGAGAGAGGGGTTCTGGGGACGCGCCGGTCCCGCCTTGGCCACGCCTCCTCCACCCCTCCGCCCTCCTGGCCTTTTCTCTATCCCGGTGCTGCGCGGAACCCTCTGCTCCGGGGACCTAGGTCTTGGCGCCCATGCCCCTGTCGCAGAGACGCACCTTGAAGCCGTCGTCGGACGCGATGATGAGCACCTCGAAGGGCTGCCCGCGCTGGAAGGGAACGCCCGGCCCGCGCTCCTCGCGGCCCCAGGAGCCCTGCTCCAGGCTGTTGAAGACCACCTCGGAGGTGTCCAGCCGGGGGTTGAAATGCAGGACCGCATCGGAGCCCTGCTCCTCCCCGCACAGCAGGTTTACATGGAACCTGGAAGTGGGGGATGGTGGCAGTCAGGGCTCGGAAACCACCCAGAGCAAAGTGAAGGACTAACAGGCTGGGACTCCCCATTCCCAGAGCACCCCCAAATTGACAGGGACCTGAAGACAGGCACACACCACAGAAGGGGAGGTGGCAGACTAATGGCCAAGGAGCCCAGATTCTGAAGGCAGCCAAAATGTCATGAGGCCCTTGGGGGGAACCCACCCAGACCAAAGTCACTATGCGCAGGGCGCCCTCCTCTCCAAAGAGCCTGGGAGCTGCCCAGGAGATCTGGGTGTTGGCCAGGGTGTTCCTAATGCCCAGGGAGCCCTCAGTTTCTACAGGACAAAGAACAACACCAGGAACCCCAGTATTTCCAGGGTACCCAGGAATCCAGAAGGCCCAAAGTTCCTCAGCCAGGAAGCAAAGGACGACTTGACCAGGACTCCCAGAGTCCAGGGTGTCTCCAGGACTCGGAATTTTCCAGAGTTCCCCGGGACCCAGATACGGAAGTCACAGGACTATATCTAGGAACCCTGAGATTGCCCAGGACCCCCAAATTCTTAGGGAAACTTAGGGACCTTGGCCACAAATTCATGGGGCAAATAATCGAATACATCAGATTCGAGGTCAGAAATAGCCTTGGACTTCTAGCCTGGTGGGTACAGATGGCCCAGTGCCCCTATTTCTGGACTACAAGAGTTGGGGGTCAGCTGAGCCTGGGACCTGCACCCATTACACCTAAGGCCTGGGGCCTCACCTGCTGGCATTGGGAGGAACCACGCCACGAATTCTCAGCACCGTGCCAGGACGGATGCCCTCGGGCAGCGAGGTCTTGTGGGGGACGTTCTGCAAGAGTGGGGTGCGGGGGCCACTGTGAGCCGGTGAGACGGAGGGAGGGAGACAGAAGGTGGGTCACCCCTCAGAGGAGCCGACCACGACTGAGACTGGCAGAAATCAGTGGGAGAGAAAAGGGTGGCAGAGAGGCAGGAAAGAGATGGGGAGAGAAACAAGGAAAAACAGGAAAATGCTCAGAGGGAGCCAGAGGAAGCCACGAAGGGGGAGAGGGGACAATCAGGATCGGGGGCCACCCAGAGGCCACAGCCCAAGACCACCCACGGTGCACCCACTGCCCACTTGCTCCTTTGAAAGGGGAGCCCCCAGTCCCCTCCCTACAAGGCCCCGCCCTGGGACCCTGGAGCACTCACGGACATGGCTGGGACAGGGTCAGGCAGCCGTGGCGGTGGGGACTGCTGGGGACCTTAAGTAAAAGTAGGGCGGGGCTGGCCCTGATGACTCACCCCACCCCTTCCCACCCACCACCCACACCTGGCACAGACCCTGGCCCTGGGGCAGGGCTGGGGAGGTGGGAGCTGTGCCTCTTCCTGGGAGCCCTGCTCCCCTCCACCACCCAGGGCCCGCATGCCCTGCCCCCTCCTAGGAGCTGATAATAAGAGGGACCGTTTAATAATAATAAACTCACAGCAGAGAAGGCACCTTGTGCCACCACCCCTCCAGCCCTGTCTTCCTGCTGCCTGGCACACAGAGAGCCCCTATCTCATTTTATACACAGGGTCCCGAGTATAAAATGATGGGTCCCGAGAAGCCAAGCTGGGGGGGAACTCCAGACCCTTCCTTCCGGCTGAGAACCTCCTGCGCCTGGACTTGGGGTGTCCGCGCTGAAATCCCAGCTTCCACATCTGTAAGGGAACAGTGGCGATAGTGACAGACAGGGCGGCTTCACAGAGTCGGGGCTGAGGGGCTGCCTGGTCCACTCAGCGCTGCACCCCAGGTCCTGAAGTCTGCACGGCATGTGGCAAGTCCTCAGTGAGGAGGGGTGAAAGGAAGGGAGACTCCAGGACTACCCTGTCATTTCCTAGGCCTCTGGGCTGCCCAGGATATGCAGGAAATCACTGATTGCACCCTCATAATTTTTTTTTTAATTTTGTGAAGGAGTCTTGCTCTCTTGCCCAAGCCGAAGTGCAATGGCATGATCTCAGCTCACTGCAACCTCCACCTCCCGGGTTCAAGCGATTCTCCTGTCTCAGCCTCCTGAGTAGCTGAGATTACAGGCACCCACCACCATGCCTGGGTAATTTTTTAATTTTTAGTAGAGATGGGGTTTCTCCATGTAGGTCAGGCTGGTCTCTTAACTCCTGACCTCAAGTGATACAGCCACTTCAGCCTCCCAAAGTGCTGGGATTACAGGTGTGAGCCACCACACCCGGCCATGCACCCCCATAATTCCAACAGGGAGGAATATGGGTCGCCCCCATTGTACAGAGGAGGAGGCTGGGTCTGGGATGGGAAGCGATTTTCCACAAGCCATGCAGGACCCTCTGCCCTGACCTCTGGCTCTCCTCACCTCTGACTGCACTTCTCCTGTGGGTTCTGTCTCGGGGGCTGGCTGCCTCGCTCTGTCCTCTTCTCCTGTGGGTTCTGTCTCTGGGGCTGGCTGCCTCGCTCTGTCCTCTTCTCCTGTGGGTTCTGTCTCTGGGGCTGGCTGCCTCGCTCTGTCCTCTGTCTCTAACCCTGTCTACGGCGTATTCTTGTCTCACTTCTCTCCTTCAAATCTCTCTCTCTTGTTCCTCCTTTTAGTACTGTTACCATCATCCCACCAAGCTTACTGGTCAGGATGAGGTGGGTCTTATGGTGGTGGGTGGCCCAGCCCCCCATCACCACCCAGACCCAAAACACAGCAAAGTG